ACAAATTTTAAGGGAGCCAATCGCGAATTACGAGTCATACATTTCGATGTTATTAAATCTGATGCCTTTCGTAAATTTATTAATGATTGCGCGGGTAATAATGTTAGTTGGCATTTTATCCCATCTCGCTCACCACACGTTGGTGGAATTTGGGAAGCAGGCATTAAGTCCATGAAATACCATCTAAAACGAGTTAGGGCAGTCATTGTTCACATATGAAGAAATGTATACCTATTTGACATTGATCGAGGCGTGTCTTAACTCACGACCTATAACTCCATTATCCTCAAATCCCGACAATCTATCCGCACTTACCCCTGGCCACTTTCTGATCGGTACTGTACTTACGTCACCTGCCGAACCTGATGTGAGCGGCATCAACATTCATCGACTGGGTCAATGGGAAAAGATCCAGCAGTTACGACAACATTTCTGGAAAAGGTGGTCCAGGGAGTATCTGGTCGAGCTTCAACAACGATCGAAGTGGGCAACTTCCGTCCGATCGGCCACTGTGGGCGACATCGTCATCGTGCACGAGGATAACGTGCCCCCGTTGTGTTGGTGTCTCGGTCGGGTTGAAATCATACATCCAGGTCGTGATGGTTAAATAATGTAAAAGAATAAAACTTTCGTTACAATATTTTATTTAAATAAAGGGTGATTGCGTTACAAGTACGACGTAGGTACGTCAAGAAATCTACATAAGTGCGTCATCATCTTCCGTCATGCGCGTCTCTGCGCCCTCTGCGTACTCTCGACCCTTATCGAGATGCCAAGGTTAAGTGGTATCAGAATTATTCTTACAATAAGGACTGTGTCAGTGCGAACCAGAAACGGGATAGTGCAAAGATCAGTGCGGAAATTGAGCCCGTTACCAGTGTAGTGCGCCAGTTAAACAATTACCAATGTAAATGCGCAATTGGGATATACATGCGTATATATTTCATTTTATTATTGGACTCTTGTTAATTTCAATTTAATTACTGTTGCATGATCTTAGTTGACATGTATTCATTTAATTAAGATTTTTGTTTCTTTATTATTATGTATTATTTATCTCAATAAGTAGGTCATCCTTGAAGTTAGTACTTCAACGGGGAGACTATGTTCAGTTTACCTGAACAGGGGTTTGGACGTAGCCAATTTGTCCACCCTACTCCCACCCGTTTTAGGGGTAGTTTACCTATTTTTATTATTTCGCGCAAAACAGTAAGAAAATACGACAAGGTTGCAGTCCGTCTTCGGTATTTTTGCTCCATTTCAGATTTTTACACTTTCTATCAACAACTATTCCCAAAAGAAAAGCTGCTTCAATTACGTGCTTTGGTTTTGTTAAGTGTTTTTTCACCTGTGTACCAATTGTCAAGAAGAAAGATAGTTTCGTAGTTGCCATGCTTGAGCATCTTCAGTATTTGGTCACAGTAAATTTCCCGCTTCCTCTCTGAATCAAACTTTGTCAGTTTGTCAAAAGAGTATGTTTTTGGGAAATCGTTGTGAAATGCTTAAAACACTATGACCAAATTTAAACCACAACCACGACTTGGTACAAAATGTTCATTTTTGTAATGTAAACCCAGTGGATCTATACATATTGTAATACAAATATTCGACAATGGAAAACAGCCTTGATGTCGTTTTTTGCTAATTCTGAGCACAAGTACTTTGTTAAAAGGTATCATGGCACTTTACATTTCAAAATTTTTAAATATTTTGTGCTCGAGGCGCCGAACAGATGCAAATAGTACAAAAACGCGTCTTGAATGCGTGAACAACGAATCTAGCACTGACATTTGTTAGACATGAATGCTGCATCCGTTGAGCGATCTTGACAAAAAAAGACACACACAGACGAAATAAATTACACATTAGAGCAACCATTTACTACACTGCTTGCAAATAATAAAGTTATTATCAAACTCATATTAGAACTAGAATTAATTGTGCGATGGAAAACTATCTCAATCAAAGTGAATGTGTCATTAATATTGTTAAATGATGTTACCTGTGAACGGTTTGGTCATTTAAATAATATGAATCTGATTAAGATGATTTTCTGTAGCACCATACTGTTTTCTATGCAGTGATTTCGGAATGTATGGACAATTTGTAGCCACTACGATGACAAGATATATATACCTCCGGCTTGTCCATTAAATGTGTTTGAGGATTATTGTTGTGATTTGGAATCAATTTTCGAAAAAATTTACGGAGTCTTCTTATATTATTGTGGGTGATTTTAATTTACCCCAACTTAGGTGGAATTTAGGCAACATTCAAAACAATGCACTTTCTGGTTCTCGTGATTATTATAATGTAATTTCTTACACTACTGCTTTTATGAACTTAGAACAACTAAACAAGATCCCTAATAGTAGAAATGTCTTTTTAGATCTGGTTTTTTCCAATATTGTTAGTTTGGATATTAGTATTGCCATTGATCCTATATTTCCTGCGTCAGTTCATCATTTTCCATATGAATGGTGCGTGCCATCTACTTCTCCTTTTCCAGTGTATTCTGAGACTCGATGTTTTGACTTTGCTAAAGATAATTACAATCTTTTAAATAATTTTTTTGCTTCTGTACGTTGGGATTCTATATGGTCTGGTCTTACGATTGACGAAATGGTATCTGTATTTTATGACATTATATTTGCTGGTTTCAAATTGTATATTCCGTTAAAGGTAGTAATAAATAGTGCTCAAACATTTCCAAAATGGTTTACCAAGGAACTCAAAGATTTATGTGTTATGAAAAAGTCTGCGCATTACCATTATAAGAAATCTGGAAAGTTGGAGGATTACCTGCACTTTAAAAATTTAAGATCTCGTTGCAAAGAATTGAGTAGACAACTGTATTCGGCCTACGTTTCTAAAGTTAACTTGAGTATTTCTAACAACCCAAAATTTTTTTGGAAGTTCATTCGAGACAAGAGAAACAATGATATGATACCTAATGAGATGTGTCTGAATCAAGAAGTTGCTAAAGGAGGAAAACAAATAGCTGACCTTTTTGCGAAGTATTTTTCTTCAGTTTATGTGAAAGATGATTCAAGAAATTTTTTATGCGATTTTGAAGTGCCTTTGCAGGTGAATGATAATGGTTTAAGCGTTACTCTTTCAATTGTTTTTGAACATATTTCGGCTTTGTATCTGTCTTGCAATAGTGGACCTGATGGAATTCCTAGCGTCGTTTTAAAGAATTGCAACTATACTCTTTCGCTGCCACTGTTTATTTTGTTTAAAACTTCTTTGAATTTGGGTATTTTCCCTCATGCATGGAAGAACAGTTACATTATTCCGGTCTTTAAATTTGGACAGCGACAGCGTATTGATGACTATAGAGGAGTCTGCAATCAATCAGTAATTCCCAAACTTCTAGACAGTATTGTATCTTCTCAACTGCAGTGGACATCTTCATTAATAATCTCTTCTAAACAACATGGTTTTCGCAGCAACAGATCGACAATGTCTAATTTATTAGAATATTATTCTTTTCTTAATGAATCTATCAGCTGTCGATCTCAAGTTGATTCTATTTATACAGACTTCGCCAAAGCGTTCGATCGTGTTAACCATAGATTATTAATTTTGAAATTGCGAAAATTAGGGTTTACGGATTTGACAATTAGTTGGCTAACCTCTTTTCTTACGGATAGAAAACAACAGGTCCGCATTGGTAAATACATTTCTGATCATTTTGATGTTTCTTCTGGTGTACCGCAAGGTACACACTGTGGTCCTATACTTTTCCTATTATTCATCAATGATTTGACTAGTTGTTTTCGTCATTGTAATTATCTTTTTTATGCTGATGATTTGAAACTTTTTAAAAACATACGTTTTTCTGTGGATGCTGAAAAACTTCAACTTGATTTAGAGTCTTTAATTGATTGGTGTGATAAAAATTGGCTACCTTTAAATTTAAAAAAGTGTTACATAATTTCATTTTATAATACGAAATCTTTTATTGAGTTCGACTATCAATTAAATAATCATTCTGTGTCTCGTATTTCAGAAATTAAAGATTTGGGGGTAATATTTGACTCTGCTCTTTCCTTCAAATCTCATTATTCGTATATTTTCAAAAAATCTTTGCAAATATGGGGACTCATTTGGCGTAATTGTAAGGATCTTTCTAGCTAGGCCGTAGGCACAATAAAGGTGATTACCAATGGATTATGAATAAATTTAACATCCAAACATTGAGTGTTCGAAGACAGATTGCTGATGCTTGCGTTCTTCATGGGATTATTAATGGCTATATTGACAATCCAGATTTGTTAGCTAAGTTGTCCTTCGTCGTCCCGGCAGTTGACAGTCGATCTACACGTAACCTATCTATTTTTAGGATTCCTCCTGCGACAACTAATTTCTCTGCTAATCATCCTTTAAGAAGAATTATGGAGGCTGCTAATGGTTATATCAAACGCAAAGAAGTTTGTTTATTTAGTTCTTCCAAAGTGGTATTCAAGAATAAAATTACTTTTTATTACCGACATTAAGTTTGTTTTTTTTTATGCATGCTAATATCTGGAATATATTCACCAGTTTATCTATTTATTATTATTTTTTTTATCTATTTTGTATTTGTTTAAGTTATAAGTTAAGTTATTTAAAAATTATTTATATTTCTTTTCTTATGTAATTGGAGTTTTCCGTTAATAAACCATTAATTAATTAATAAAAGATGGAGTTTCTGCTGATAGTGCAGGAATTTCGCCTAAATTCTCTAGTTTAGAATTCATTTAGCGTATGTTTTAATGCAATTTTAAATATTTTGTGATATTGTGAAATTTTAAAGTTATAAAATTTACCTTAAAACGCATTTCTGTTGATATTGTCCAGGTCAGTTAGCAGTATTAAACTCATTTGTTAAATTTTGAGGTTAGAAACCTGATTCCGTCTAAGATATATTTTGTTGTGATACGAAATTACAACACCAGTTGCTGTTTTTAAATTCGTTGTTTTGGCAGGCAGGAAAGTCTATAGTGCAAAATGTGATAAACAAAAATAAGTACTTTGGTAGAGAAATTTACCTCTTTTTGAAGCGGAAGTATTTTTCAAACATTGTTCCAATATTAGTTCGTGATGAATAACAGCAGTTTTGGTTCCATTTTTTTTTTAAACTATGGAAACACCTGTACAGAAATGTTAAACCAAATTTATAAAGTTAATTTTAAAATATTTTTACTTACCTTAGTTTATGTGTTTTGTTTGTATTTTTTTAAAGTTTGATAGTAGGACGTACGCCAGTTTTTGCTGCAGTTCTCTTCGTATTGTTGTGAAGGCCTCACGAAAAAAATTTGTACTGAAATTCATAGTTATATAACGCCAAATATATTTCGTTGATGACTCACCTAAAGTAAAAGTTGAAGCTTAGCTCAGTTTGCCCGAAAATATACTTGAAAAATTTTCGTAAAATATTGACTGATCGAGTTTGCAATTATGTGGTCGTCAACTAATTAAAATTTGGAACACTATCAAAATAATTTATCGAAAGTTCAAATTTTGTGTGAATAGAATAAAATAAATTTCATGCATGTTAAAAAATCCGAAAATGGTACTTCAGACAAAAACTATAAACAAAATAATTATAAAAGAAGTCGTTATGTCAAATTAGTTTATTCAACTGAAAAATGTAGCCATAAAAGAAAGCGAATTATTTAGTTTGCGGCTATGTTTTTCATAGATGTGAAAATTTTGTAAATCTCAAAAATAAGTTTAAATATAAGAATAGATAAATAAATAAATTAATTAATAAATTAATAAGCAATACAAATCTTTAGAATATCTGAAAACAGATGAAGGATATAGGTATGTAGGTATACAAAGATTGTACAATCAAACTAACAGCTTACCTGTGAAGTTCGATTGAAATTGTATAATCACCACAGACTACACAGACAAGCCACTGCCCCACCACTGACAAACGAATATAGTCTTTAATTCAAGAGTCCAAACAGTCGATTTCAATTATTTTGCCCTTGAAGACAGGAAAATGACGGTTTAGGTAAGGATGACCTTGATTCCGCTTAAAAATTTGCAAAATACTGTAGTGGCTATCCTGTTTAGTGGAAACTTTTAGGAGAATGTAACTAGAAAAACTAGAATTTTGACACTTCGGGTCAGAGATATTGAATATAAGTACATATATACATTTAAACCTCCTTGCTTTGGGTTGACAACATAATCACATATAACCTCAAAATGGGTCCGACCAAGACGTGTGAAGTGCAACGCACTCCTGTGAGTCCTGCGGCGACAGAATACACAATACAATACAATATAATCATTCACTCACTTTTAAAAAATGTATAAATTTAATTAATAGCACTCATAAATTTTTTAGCTTGTTCATGTTTTTTTTTTGACTATGAACGTACGTACGAACGCCTTTATTGTTTTAGTAAGTTAAACATAATATGACTTCTGCTGATGTATTTTTTTAACATTATGTTGGCTTTTATCCGAGATTGTGTTGTAAAGTGGCAGTCCTCGCGTTTAAAAATCGCGCGTATGAAGTGACGGTTGAGGTAAGTCGTCAGTAAGGGTCACGTTCGCTCAAAGTGGGTATGTGGCTTGTCTGTGTAGTCTGTGTAATCACCTTCTTGAAGTAATCACTCGTTACAGGGGCAATTCTGAATGAAACCTGTTAAAATTTAAAGGTTGTTAAAAATCAAGATTTTTGTCGGATGTGTATATTGATTGGTATTCCGGATCCCGATAAATTAACACCATGTTAAAATTGACATATTTTTATCGGATCCCTTTAAATTTTCGGAAGACTTCGTTAATTTGGTTTAAACGAACTACCCAGTGTGTTTCGTGGCCTATTTTAGGTTAAAGATGCCTTGACTTTACTAATTTTACTATCATAAATTCAAATTTTGTTGGAATTGAGCTTCTTAAACATAAAATCTGGTATAGATAAATTATAATATAAAATTAAGAAGCAGACGGAGACGGACCGAGACCAAATGGTACGTGCTCAACGGTGATCACAATTTGTGAGGTTAGGAGTGCAATTAGTGAATCAAAACATTCAAAACAAATCCAAGTTTATTCTGGATTTTTGGATAATTTATAATTTGCCATCAATTACTATATTTAACTACAGGAAGCCACTTATAAGAAATTAACTCCACGGTATAAGGTACGAGACAAAAAATTATCACGGTGCAATTTTTTAAGAATTTTTTATTATCTAGACCTTTGACTAAATAAAACACCCAGTAGAAGTTAATTTAGTATACAAAAATGCTTTTTTCAGTTATATTTTTGCATCAAATAATTTCTGATCTGTGAAAACTCAATTGTGTCAAGAAATTTTGAGACAAAAAATTATCACGCATCACTTTTTGTATAAAAATCAATTAGAAAAACGTAGTATGCGTAATTGTTGTTTATTTGTATGATATGCACGATATGCAATTGTTTGTTAGAACTGATAAAGTGTCGAAATATAATTGGCTGAGCTACAATAATTGTCTTTCGCCATGGACAAAGAAAACGATCTAACAGAACGTGAAAAAGGACAGATTGAGGCATACTATGACCAAGGTTTGAATTTTGCGGAAATAGGATGAAAGATTGGAAGAGATCGGACCACAATCTCCAAGTTTGTAAGAAAGAAATACAGTGAAAATGGACGACAAAATTGTGGAAAAAATGAAAAACTCACTGCACGTGCGAAAAGATCCATTGTGACTCCGGGTATAAAGGATAACATGTCATCTCAAATGATGAAGACGACCCTAGGACTTCCTGTTCACAAAAGAACAGTTTTGCGAGTACTGGCTAATGACAAAAATGTTAAATATGCCAAATATAAGAAACAACAAATGTTAACAAAAGAACATATTCAAAAACGTCGTGAATGGGCCCGAGAAATGCAGACGAAAAATGAAGAATGGTTCCAGATAGTTTTTTCAGATGAAAAGAAAGTTAATCTTGATGGTTCTAATGGTTTTAGATATTATTGGCACGATTTACGGAAAGAAGCAAAGTATTTGTCAAAACGAGTTCAAGGAGGTGGTCTGGGGTGCCTTTAGTAGCTTAGGAAATAATAACTTAGCATTAATCAAATCGAATGGACTCTCTGAATTACCAAGATGTGTTGGAAGTGCACCTCAAACCACCTTTGAACCTATTTCAAGACAGCAAAGTGATTTTTCAGCAAAATAATGCGTCGATTCATGTGTCTAATTCATCGAAAACGTGGTTTCAACGACAAAATATAGCTTTGCTATAATAGCCTGCGAAAAGCCTACATCTCAACCCTATTGAGAATGTATGGAGTTCTCTTGGACGAGACGTTTATAAAGATGGGAAGCAGTACGCAACAGTTAATGAATCGAAAGATGGTATCTTGACGGCTTGGGAGAATTTGGAGGTTAATTACTTCATCCATTTGGTCAATTCTATGAAGCAACGCGTCTACAATCTCATAGAGGTAGGTGGAAAATACATTGGGTATTAAATTAGTTTTCATTCAGTTAGTTAGTTATTTCCCTTTTAAGCGTGATAATAATTTGTCACAATAAGTCTGTTAACAAAATTACATATTTTCAATAAATTTCGTTCAGTTTAGTGTTTTCTGTGAAAGTGTTTTATTAAATTAATTAAAAATGGAATTGCTCAATCAACCAGGTATCTTCACTTTCTTTTAATACATTTAGGCAAAAATTCTGCACCGTGATAATTTTTTGTCTCGTACCTTAGTTGAATTTATGTATCTTTTGACACACGTGACCGAAGTATCATACAAGCTCAGACAGCACCTACCATAAGAATCTTTGTTTTAAGGATTACAAAAACGAAGAGCCAGACAAATAGTATGTCTACCGAAATTAGGCCAAATTACGCTCTACGTCAGACATTCTCTTTCACAAAGTTCCTTGAATTAGAGAAAGATAAAATACGTAATAAATGCGTCCACATAGTGCGACAGGCACTGATGTAGTCAATCTAGTGACTGTTAATAATTCATCGATTTTTCATCAAACGTCACTGTCATTTTTGGTTTTACTCAGAGTGGTTAATCGCAGTTTTTCGTTGTTCTATTCAAGTTTTCTATTCAGTTCTTCGTAAAGTTCGTTGGTTGTTAAGATTCTTGTTTCGTTGTCCTATTTTTTATGTTTTGTTATCTTATTTCTTGTTCGTGTTCGGTCTACAACATGGAGGGCAAACGTTTGAGTTCCCGTGCCCAGGACATCGTGTCCAACTTTATAGAGTATTTTGCTCTTGAGAAGGAAAACGGTGGTCCTTTAATCTCATTAAATGGTACAGAACAAGTAAGTAAGTAAAAACCACTTGAAGGTTCATGGCTAATAATTTCGCTCAAATTTTTAGCGAGTTGCAGATGCTCTAGGCGTTACTCGCCGAACGGTTTCGAAGATTAAAACTAGAAAAGAAAGACTCCTTCCCAGTCCGACAAAATCACAACCCAATCGGAAAGCACCGAAACCAAAAGACCTGCCTGAGCCTACACATTTGTGTCATGTTGACGTTATGAACATTGTCATCTTTTTGACTAATTACTCCAAAGTAACAGTTATTAGTTCGGACGTTAGCTTTTGGTCACGTGTGTAAAAAAATACATGAATCCAACTATAAGTAAGTTTATACTCAAGTAAACCGAAGTAAAATGTATTGGTTTTAGGTTATGAAATTTTATCATCCGATTTGATGTTCATATTGAACAACACATAATAGTTATGTATGTATTCAGTCATGTGATTGCTTTTCTGAAATTAGCTGAAAATGATACGTTTCCAAAAAAATCCAGTGTCTTGAGGGAGAAGTGTTACTTTTTATTAAAAACGCACCAAATGATAACTTTTTATTACTTGCATAAAGTTGCTTCAGTAATGAGTGCTTTTTGTGGTTTAATGCGGGAGGAACTGGCCAAGCTGCGCATCAACAACATTGAAGACAGATGATTTGTTTCAGTGGTCGAAATAGCAGACTGGTGCCTCGAAAAGCTTCACAATCATAAAAGAGGACACTTTAGGAGCGTCAAATTTAGTTAAGTAATTGAAAACTGTATTTTTTACTTGGGAAATGAGAATAGAAATTATTTTCGTAATGTTTTTATGTAGGTATGAAATGTTTGTAAATTGTCAATTAAAATAAATTATTTTCCAAATGTAGTTATGTTGTTATTTAATAACCATAAAAATTAACTTGCAATTTGCGGGCAATTATTATTTGGAGCATTACGAGGGTGCTAATTGCTACCATTTCCAAGGTGTTATCGTTCAGTAATTGACAGGTGAAAAATAAATTAATCAACGGGCCTCACTTTTTTGCTGATGATTTATTTAAATAACTACTTACATTCTTTGTAAATTCTCTTCATAATTTACTATAAATAAATGCAAAATACCGTCCAGGTACGCCATTATTGTTTTTTTTGTTAATTAAAGGGTACTAGCGAGGCATCCTTTAAAACTGTCACTTTTAACGGATTCATTTATGTTTATGTTTATGTTTACTTTATTTACGGAAAACTCCATTTAAAAAAAAATATATATATATAAACAAGGTAAACTAACAAAAGTAAATAATCATTTCCTACCATT